TAATGTGTCTTCATGCAGAATGTGCCCCGAGAACACCGAGACGGTCTGAACGTCAGCGCGTCGGTGCCGAACCATGTTGTAGAGCCAACGAACCCGTCGGACCGCGAGCTTGCCCGCGCTCGGCAGCATGCGCCACTCGCGCAAGACCTCGTCGTCGCTCAGCGACGCGGCCCGAGGCCCATCCCAGTTCGTCAACGAGCCTTCATCAATGTTCGAAGGTAGCGGGCGACAATCACGTCGATGCGAGCGTGCTCCGACGAGGCGAGAACGAATGCCTCGAGCCCCGCAAAGCCTTTCTCCACGGCGGTGCTAAGATACAATCCCGCTTGGGTCGACGCAGTCCCCTTTCTTGCCAGGAGAGCCCCATCGTACTCTACCCTCCTGTCATCCCTTGGGTGCGCAGTTCCACCTTCACCACGTTGGCCCCCTTCGTCGTGCGCCGTGTCCCCAGGTGACGCGCGCGTGGCTTTACTGCGCCATGCTTAGCAGTTCAAAGGTCTTGTCATCGGCGATAAGTTAGCATGGAACGTAGATGCGGTACGATATCCCGTTTGCCCATCACCTGTGGAAACAATCACCACATCTGAAGAATTCGATTCACTGCTCCATCGTTAGCTGCGACAGTGTGGATCGATTCCTGGACGCCGAGACCTCGAGGCACAAGACGCTTGCGCAATATATCATCTGCACAGCCCGAAAAAGAAGGGCGTCGATGCCAGACTCACCCTGCTGACCCAATCAACTGGCACGAGACCGCAACCATCGGGGATAAGGAGAAGCGGCATCATCTCAAAAGACACCCACCACCATCTCGCCCACGAGCTCAACCACGACAAACACAAAGGTATCCCAGGGGCGGCGCGTTGCCCCAGTGAAGAGGGCATCCCACCATGCGTCGTAATCCAGCCACAGGAAGGACGTTAGACTCCGCGGCCAACCGCTGGAACATCACAAAGCGTACTGGGCATGCGCTGTCAGGGAAAATCAGCGCGAGGTAAGACAGTGCGAAGTAAAATCAATGCTGCCCGGGACTAGCTGACCGAGCTCACCTCCGTCGCCGCTTGGACTCAGCCTGCGGCGCCCCGCGATGGGATTCGCCGCGGCACAGTCGGCAACGCCCCCCCGCTTTACAACCACCTTTCGAGAAGTAGCGAATGCAGACCACCTCGAAGGGGCAGGCAGGCATGTCGACGTCGGGCAGGGCGGTGGACGGGCAGGCCTCGGATGGCTTCGCAGCGGAAGGCTGGGGAGCTGAACCGGCAACTGGGCCTCCTGAGCTAGACGCAGCTGCGCCTGCAGTAGGGCTCTCGCCCAGGGAGTCCAAGGCCTCCGCCTCGTCCACGGACTCGTCCTCCTCCTCCGCCCCCTCCTCCTCCTCCTCCTCCTCGGCCCTGCCGCGCCATCGATCAATCTGCCATGGCCGCTTCCGCCTCGAGGACGTCGCGCTCGCGCTCCGCGGCGAAATCCACCTGGGGTCACGGCTGGAAATGCGCCCAGCGTTCCGGCCTGCGCCCGTAGCGCTCATCCATGTCGAAAGCAGCAAGAATCTCGGGCGCGGGGCCATAATCGAACCAGGCGACGTTGACGGGGTCCAAGGCGATGGCCTCGGGCTCGTAAACATCGCCTTTGGGGTGAGCACGTGAATCAGCACGGCGGACCTCGACCGCGACCCTGCCTTTAGGCGCGTGGCCGGCCACCCGCCCAAGCCGCCCATCGAGGGCCCGGCCTCTCTGGCTCGCGAGCCCGACTATTCCCACGAACTCGCCAATCAGCCCCCCGAGTACCAGGCGAGCCCCCCCGTTCATATCACCACCGATCAGGCCGTTGCTGCCGACAGAATGCGAGAGAGGCTGACAGACTGCATGCGGCAGACTGCCTTTCCATCAATGCATGAACGACGCGAATGCGCTGACAATGCGTCAGGCTCGCAGCACAGAAGAACATCCAATCCCCGATGAGGCGCAACGCCGTTGTGAGAGATGCCGCGAAGGCGATCGCTAACATAGATGTGCACGTCGGAGCGCATTCAACAGCAAGCGCGGCGAGAGCCTGCCTCACCACCAGCACGTCCGTCACCCTGCGAACCTCTCGCGAACGCACTGGGCCAGCTGCACGACGGTGACCCCCACGGCGTCCTGGTGGCGCGCAAGACTCACGGGAACCTTCGCTGCGAGCAAGAATAGAAGCATGAGTCGGAAAAGCGAGCAGCTCCTCATTCAATGGAAGACCCGACGAAAAGCCCAGGCCTCCCGCGCGACCCCTGGAAATCTCCCTTCTGCGTAAGAAAGAAGATGCGCCCCTAATGCAACTTGAAACTCACGGCTCCATTCCGAGCGCGCTGCTCTGCGAAGACCTGAACTCAGGCCGCGCAACGCGATGGCCCGCAGCCGCTAAAAAGACGAGGAGGATGGGCATATGGGCGAATTGCTGAGGTCGTGAAGCTCATTCAAGTGAGCAAAAACGAGACGGACGACGGAGGGCGACGCCGACCGATGCGCTGTTGGACAAGCATTGCCCCCCCCCCCCCCTTCCGCCGATGCTACCAAAAGCCGCGCCAGCACCCAGGACCAGGATCAGATCGCCAAGCCCCCCCCCCCCCCCAGCTGCATAGGACAGCATGCCAGAATGTCCAGAGCGCGTCCAGCAGGCGGACTACTCTAACGCTTTGTAGGTTGTCCTTGTTGTTGCTGTTGTCCATGACAACGCCCTCAATAGCTTTGGCCCTCGTGGGATGCTGCTCCACCTGTATTGGATAAACAAGTTAAAGCTGCGAGTGCACATGGTAGCTCTGTCGACAGGGCAAGAACAAACAAATCTCGCGACCGTCTGCAGCCCGAGCGCCGCCACCAGCACAAATGGTGTCCCTCTGGATAAAACGTAACGCTGGGGGGCCAGCAGCGCGCGCATTAATGTCGTCATCTGCCTGACCCACCTCTGGGAAGAAGTCATCATCGTGGCGCAAGCTGACCAAACGGCGCGGGTCCAGATTCGCGCGTCGCCGAAGATTGTGGAACCACGGAGGGCGGGGCGGGCGCAGGGTCAGGCGCGGCACTTGCATGCCTTAAACCAAAGGGCGACTTCGACAGGAGTGGTCCAACCTACTGTGGCACGGCGTTAGTTTGGCCCGACGCAGTCGATTGAGCAGCCGATTCACCGAAGTCCCCGCCAGCACTTCCATTCGAGAGGATCGGGCAAGGATGACAGCAATGAGGGGGGCCACCAGAAACTCTGCCAACTTGGCGTTATAGTCCTCCAGATCAAATGATTCCATTCCTCCGTCTTCTCCTTTACATTTAATAGCCTCCCCCAGCTCCGAGAAATCTGAGGTAAAGCCCGAGACATGGTCATATGTGCGATGCTTGACCAACGTGGACCTCCCAGCTAAGACACGTGCTAATATGTGAACCTCGGCCTGGTGACCCGAGCGGCGGGCCTCGTGAATGTCCTCGAGCGCAGCGGCCCGCCGTCGAGCATGAAATCCCGCGGAAGAGACGACGAAGCAGGCCACCAAGATGACGGATTCTCCTGCGGCACTCCTAGTGTTCCTCCGAGTAGCAGGGGTGATGGCCATAGATTGTCCAATAGCGATGAAGCTCCCAATGATGCGGGTGATGCTCACGGGCGAGAGATCAGCGCTCACGACGTAAAACACGATACGCATCATGTGGAGGTACGGGTGTGAGTGCGAAATGCTTGCGTGGCGTGTCCTGTACTAGGCTATCCGGCGGCCATACTCACGATATGTGTGCGTGTCATGCTGGTATCGAGACAAACCCGATGCCGTTTCCTGAAAGCGTGTCCCCATCTCCTCGTAAAACTCTTTCCGGTACAAGCCAGAGTGAAGAGTTGCTGCTGGTTTTTGGGAATCCCAGCGCAAGAAATCATAGTCCCGAGAAGAATAAGGCATGGCAGATTGGATGTTCAAGATTACTGGCTTGTGACCCCGCGATCGTCCACTCGGAATCAGCTGAAACTCCCGCCCGCTCCTCCATGCCACCTGGCACCGTGTTCCCCCCTGTTGCCGTACGGGGGGAGAAGGTGTACAGGGCTGCCATGTCTAAGTCGAGCACGAGATCACCAACGATGGTGCCCCCCAAGTCCCTGACGACCGACATGGTGGGGGCCAATAGGTTCGCCAGCCTCACCTCGACGCTGGCCATCACTCCCCAGACCGATACCAAAATTAAGATCCATGCCCTCTACTACTGTGTTCCGTGTCGCTGCTCGTTCGACGCGTGCTCTGAGATGTTCAAACGTGTCTTTACTTAATTTTATGTGTGCTCTGCGCTTGCCTCCAGATTCGTATAGGGGCGGCGGGTACACTGTGATCAGCATCGGCCTGGGCCCTTAATGCGACCCTCACCATAATGATCAGGGATGTTCGAAGGACCTGCGTGCGCATGCTTGATGTAATTAGGATGTATGCACCGCCTCAAGATGATGCAGCACCCCGCGCTAAAGTCGAATGAGGGGCCCGACTCCAGCCGAAGTGGAATACTATCCTGCGAGAACTCAGGCGCTCCACCTGATATGTGCGGCCTACCCATTCTCGAACACACGTGCCCTGGAGGAAGACCACATCAACTTTGAGACGACAAGCTATCTCATCCACTCTTCCTGCAGATACCAAGCTCAGGGGGGTGACCGTGACAAACTTCAGGGTCATGCTGCTGCTGGAAACCACTGGGGAAAAAAGTTGAACCCCACAGGCGTCGCCTACACATATCAAAGATCGCCCCCCCATGGACAGGCGCAACGCTGACATGTGAGTGTGCAATCGCCCCTGAAAGAAGAGGCTCGATGGAAAGGGGCTAGGAGGAAACGGAGGAGGAGGAGGCGGCGGAGGAGGAGGCGGAGGAGGAGGAGGAAAGGGAGGAAGAAGAAGAGGAGGAGAAAGAGGAGGAGGAAACGGAAAAAGAGGAGCGGAAGATGATGCATTCTGCGACCGCCCGCGTCATTGAATCCAGGGCGGGGCCCGCCCACCAGCCGCGGCCCCCCGCCTGGATCTGGTTCCACCCCTCGTCTAGGCGCATCGGCATGGTGCAGATGAACGGTTTCACGCGGGTGGTGCTCTGGTAGTTCGACGCGCGGAAGCGGCGCCTCACCTCCTTGGGCGACGGGAGGGGCGCGCCACGGGCGTCACGTCGGGGCGCGGCGTACACAAGTCGGGAGAGGTGCAAGGAGGTGGCCTGGACGCTCAAAAAAAACATCCACACCGTCGGGATCCGTTGGGCTTGTTGACCGCAGACATCACGGCGATGCCACGGGGACCCCTTTGGGGTGCAGAAAATACTGAGGCGCTCCAACTTGCCAGCCCAACAGGCCCCAAAGAGGCTCCAAGAGGCACCAAAGACGCCCCAAGGGGCTCTGATGACTGCGAAGAGTAGGCGGTCCAAAACGTACCAAGAGGTATCCAAGAGGCCCCCGAGGCGCCCCAAGAGGCCCCAAACAGCCGCCAGGAGGCACCCAAGACGCCCCAATAGGCCCCCAAGAGACCCCGACACCCCAGGAGACTCTGAGAGGCATCCAAGGGGCCTCTGGCCCAGGGAGGCCCCCCAAGCCCTCCACATCATGCCACGCTCCCCCGAGCAGGGCAGCTCCGCTGGGTATCGTGGGGATACTTTTTGGCTTGCGGCTCCAGGGCGAAGGTCTTGGAGCGGGTCAACGTCCGGGGCGCGGAACGAAGATAACTGGCCGCAGTGGCGCATGCACGCGCCAGGGACAAAATGACCCTCATTGAGACGCATACGGCGTCGGCAGGTGACCGGCTCAGACATCCCGGCAGGTGGGGACGCAGAGGCGTGGCGACCGGCGGCGGAACGGGGGGGAGAAGCCGCCATTTCGGCGCCAAGCTCCAGCCCAACCACAAAGGGAGACGGACGGCGCGGCACTGTGAAGCTGCAGGCAGAACGATGGTCCAAATGGCCACTGGTCAGGCGAAGCCAACAAGCGTGCACACAGAGACGGGCTGCCAAAAACCACGGCAGAGGAGAGGGGGAGGGAGCAAAAGCGAACGACAACCAAAGGCTCACTGCAGCGCAACGAGTAAATCGTGGGGATATGTTTTTTGATTGGCGGCTCCAAGGACAAATCCAGGAAGCGGGACGGACTCGGTTGGGGCACAGGGCGAGATAATTAGCTGCAGAGGCGCATAGGCCACGGCAACAGGTGCACGTGCCATGGACAAAATGACCGTCATTAGGACGTTGGCGACCCGAAATCGGAACGCAAACCCGAACGGGGGACGGAAGGAGCTGTCGCACAAGTGGTGCCAGGCTCTGACCGTACCGAACAGCGCTTAGGGCCGGGGCACGCTGCGCTGAAGCGGCACGGAGTGGCCGGGGTGGCCGCACCGTCCATGAAACGAAGAGGAGGCCAGGGAAGAGGGGAAAAGAACGGGCAAGGCACGGCGGGCGCGAGGGCACGCGGGGACAGGAGAGGGGGGGGGAACAGAAGGAGGCCTCACACACATGGACTCAAAGGATGCACTTGGGCATGAGCGGCCGTCCTATACCAGGAAACGGCGGCCCTGTCTTCTGAATCCATGACCTGCAACTTGCCTGACTCTGAAAGTCGGGGGGGGGGACAGCTGCAAGCACTGGTCGAGTACCTCGGACCACCCTGCGGGAGGGCCGAGAAGAACTGCCAAAGGATACACCACTTGTGCAGTAGCAAGAACTCGAAGGCGACGCCCGCCATGGGAAGCGAGACGTCGACGTCGTCGGCGTGCAACGCGGGCAACTGATCCGTCACAGGGGACGGGGACACAAAGTCGCGAGCGTCAGCCGAGGTAACGAAGGGGAAAACAAACCTACCTCGCTTTTGACCACCCTCGCTTCCAAGAGATACCAAACGATGCCAAACTACGGCCTGTACTGGTCAGGCCGCTTGACGAGGAGGCGCGTGGTATGACTTGGTTTTGCCTGGAAGCGAAAGCGGGGTAGGTAATTCACGCTCTGAGTAACAGGGGCGGACCTGCCGGTTGAACCGCGGTGACCTGCCAAAGGATGAACCACTTGCCACGACAACGCTCACCCCAGGTCTGGCCTCAGGTGGTGCCGGAGCGGGGAAGCGTGCAGGTCTGCACCTTGCCGTAGCCCAGCACCTGGAGCGCCGCGAACCAAACCTAACCTCATTAAGCAATTAAGAACCCCCCCCCCTCCGGCGAAACGATATCCCGGCCGCACCTGGAAGCGTTAACTCCGGCACCTGCGGCTAGGAGGAGGAGGAGGAAGCACATCGCCTTAGACATCCTCGCAGTTCTTAATAGAATTGGCCAAATCGCCTGAGACATCCTCACATTTCTTAATAGACTTGGCCAAATCGCCGGAGACATCCTCATATTTCTTAACAGAATTTGCCAAATCGCCTGAGACATCCTCGCATTCCGTACGAGAATTGGCCAAATAGCTTAAGGCATCCTCACATTTCTTACGAAAATTGGCCAAATCGCTTAAGAAATCCTTACATATCTTAATACAATTGCCCAAATCGCTTGAGACATCCTCACATTGCTTAACAGAATTGTCCAAATCGCCTGAGCACCCTCACATTTCTTATTAGAATTGGCCAAATCGCTGCAGACATCCTCACATGTTTTAATAGAATTGGCCAAATCCCCTGAGACATCCTCACATTTCTTCTTAGTCTTCGTTCGTATCTTCGTTCGTTTTAGTCGTATCCTCATTCGTAGTCTGCGAGGGTCGCTGCTCTGTTCGGAGTACCTCGATTCCATGAGGATAATGAGGAAAACTATTCTTATTATCCGTATTCTTACAATCAGTCGCATTCTGCTTCTCATTAGTCGTATTATTCGTTATTTTCTGCTTCTTATTCTTTTTATCTTCGTTCGTATCTTCGTATCTTCGGCGACGAGCACGATCTGGCTGTCACGCGGATATATTTTTTTTGGCCGGGTGCTAAGATAACGCCACGGTGCGGGGCGGGGGCGATACCCTCGGGTGGACCACCCCCCACGACGGCCGAAAACAAACGCATTTATCTAAAGGATGTTCAATAGAAACCTCATCGGAAAAACAAGCGGATCAGAACAAAGAGTAGAGAAGGAAGAGGAGTAAATCGCTTAAAAAATCCTCACACATCTTAGTAACATGGCACAAATCGCCTGAGACATCCTCGCATTTCTTCTTAGAATTAGCCAAATCGCTTGAGACATCCTCACATTGCTTAACAGAGTTGTCCAAATCGCCTGAGCACCCTCACATTTCTTATTAGAATTGGCCAAATCGCTGCAGACATCCTCACATGTCTCAATAGAATTGGCCAAATCCCCTGAGACATCCTCACATTTCTTCTTAGTCTTCGTTCGTATCTTCGTTCGTTTTAGTCGTATCCTCATTCGTAGTCTGCGAGGGTCGCTGCTTTGTTCGGAGTACCTCGATTCCATGAGGATCATGAGGAAAACTATGCTTATTATCCGTATTCTTACAATCAGTCGTATTCTGCTTCTCATTAGTCGTATTATTCGTTATTTTCTGCTTATGATTCTTCTTATCTTCGTTCGTATCTTCGTATCTTCGGCGACGACGAGCACGATCTGGCTGTCACGCGGATATTTTTTTTTTGGCCGGGTGCTAAGATAACGCCACGGTGCGGGGCGGGGGCGATACCCTCGGGTGGACCACCCCCTACGACGGCCGAAACAAACGCATTTATCTAAAGGATGTTCAATAGAAACCTCATCGGAAAAACAAGCGGATCAGAACAAAGAGTAGAGAAGGAAGAAGAAGAAATCGCTTGAAACATCCTCACACATCTTAGTACAATGGCACAAATCGCCTGATACATCCTCACAGTTCTTCTTATGATTAGCCAAATCGCTTGAGACATCCTCACATTGCTTAACAGAATTGTCCAAATCGCCTGAGCACCCTCACAAATCGCCTAGCATCACGGTAACAGCAGCATCACGGTAGCAGTAACAGTAGCATCACGCCATCAGGTTTCATCATAATCACGGTAGCAGTAACAGTTACGGTGTCAGCAGTACCTGTGACACTCGCCTTATTCTTATTATTGTTCTTATTCGTATTTTCATTCGTATTCTTATTATGATTACAATTCCAATTGGGCTGCCATCCGAGGCGGGACGCAGGAATTATTTACTTTCCTTTCAAGTGCGCGGTGCTAATTATATCGTTCGGCGAAAACCCCCCAGAATAATTATTTAATTACGGGGCGGTGCCAATGATAACCCCGGGGGGATCCTTAATCGCTTCATGAGGTTAGTCCACGCGGGCGATCCGCGCCCGTTCCAGGGGCCGGAGGATCCCGTTCATTTTTATATATATATATATATATATATATATATATTTATTTCCCCGACTGGAGCTGGGCAGCAACACGGCAGCGACCGACGGGTGACCTCTGGCAGGCCCACACCGCGGGAGAGCGCGTCGCAGCACGACGAGATCTGTAACGCAGCGGCGTGCTGCGAGGCGTCGAAAGGTGCGCGGCGCCGGCCGGCCGCGGGTGCCGCTTCCAGCGCGAGGAAATTACCCTGTGACGTACCCAACCCATTTGTAGCATGGGAAACGAGGAGTTGGCCGAAACTTGCATGGACAATCAAATTGCAGGATCCGTTGTTTGATATGTAAGCTACTTGGGACACGCGCCTATGGCATGTTGCGCAGGAGAACCATACAAGAACGAAGGGCGACAACTACAGGCTCGAAGAGGACATGGGGAGTCGGGAGCGAAGAGCAGGAGAAAGACGTGCGGGAAGCCCACTGTGCTGTACCCCCCAGCAGCCCTCGAAAGTGGCGACAGTTTCACAGATCGCAGCCCCCCAGGGATGGCGAGGTCTAATCTGAGTCTGCGGTGAGTACCCTCTGTGCTGTGCCCCTCAGCAGTCCTCGAAAGTGGCGACAATGTCACAGATCGCAGCCCCCCAGGGATGGCAAGGTCTAATCTGAGTCTGCGGTGAGTGCACACTGTGCTGTGCCCCTCAACGGCCCTCGAAAGTGGCGACAGTTTCACAGATCGCAGCCCCCCAGGGACGGCGAGGTCCCGTTTGGGTCCGCAGTGAGTGCCCTCTCTGCTGTGCCCCTCAGCAGCCCTCGAAAGTGGCGACAGATTCACAGATCGCAGCCCCCCAGGGATGGCAAGGTCTAATCTGAGTCTGCGGTGAGTACCCACTGTGCTGTGCCCCTCAGCAGCCCTCGAAAGTGGTGACAGTTTCACAGATCGTAGCCCCCCAGGGATGGCGAGGTCTAATCTGAGTCTGCGGTGAGTACCACTGTGCTGGGCCCCTCAGCAGCCCTCGAAAGTGGCGACAGTTTCACAGATCGCAGCCCCCCAGGGATGGCGAGGTCTAATTTGAATCCCGAAGGGCGTCACTCCGCTGGGCCCCCCAGCAGCCTCGAAAGTGGCGACAGTTTCACAGATCGCAGCCCCCCAGGGATGGCGAGGTCTAATCTGAGTCCCCGTGGTCCCACTCCGCTGGGCCCCCCAGCAGCCTCGAAAGTGGCGACAGTTTCACAGATCGCAGCCCCCCAGGGATGGCGAGGTCTAATCTGATCCCCGAAGGGCGTCACTCCGCTGGGCCCCCCAGCAGCCCTCGAAAGTGGCGACAGTTTCACAGATCGCAGCCCCCCAGGGATGGCGAGGTCTAATCTGAGTCCCCGTAGGCGTCACTCCGCTGGGCCCCCCAGCAGCCCTCGAAAGTGGCGACAGTTTCACAGATCGCAGCCCCCCAGGGATGGCGAGGTCTAATCTGAGTCCCCGTAGGGCGCCACTCCGCTAGGCACCCCAGCAGCCCTCGAAAGTGGCGACAGTTTCACAGATCGCAGCCCCCCAGGGATGGCGAGGTCTAATCTGAGTCCCCGTAGGGCGTCACTCCGCTGGGCCCCCCCAGCAGCCCTCGAAAGTGGTGACAGTTTCACAGATCGCAGCCCCACCAGGGATGGCGAGGTCTAATCTGAGTCCCCGTAGGGCGTCACTCCGCTGGGCACCCCAGCAGCCCCCGAAAGTGGCGACAGTTCCACAGATCGCAGCCCCCCCAGAGATGGCGAGGTCTAATCTGAGTCCCCGTAGGGCGTCACTCCGCTGGGCCCCCCAGCAGCCCTCGAAAGTGGCGACAGTTTCACAGATCGCAGCCCCACCAGGGGTAAGAGCAAGAGAAGAGAGGAGGAGGCGGGAGGAGGCGGGAGGCGGGAGGAGGAAGGTGGAGACCACAGTGCTCTATTCAAAACGAGTACCCAACGCAGGAGGGTTGGGAAAAAAGAGGTCTGTGGCGAGTGCGACGCGCACCATCGCATGCTCACCCGGACCCGATTCCGACAGAGGAGGCGGAGAAAGGGGGGGGGAAGGCAGCGGGGGCGGAGGAGGAGGAGGAAGAAAAAGAAGAATAACAGGGGCACGACGTCGGAGGTCTCGGGACGGACGCAGCTCGGCGGATGCTGCTCCGGGTCTCTTTGGGGCCGCGGGGCGCGTGGGGTCGCAGAGGGCTGGCGCAGGGGCAGGGAGCTCGAGCGGTGCAGCAAGCACATTTGTGCAGGCACCGTCGAGCACAACCCCAGAACACATGCCCGCATTCAGGTCGGGAGCGCCGAACAGTGGGGCCGGGATGGACGCGAGGGGTTACTGACAGGCGGCGCCTCGAGGAGCAAGAGCGCTACGGCAGCACGGGCGCGCCGCGCTCCGGGGAAGGCCCGCGCTAGAGGGAGGTGTTTGTCGGAGCGGCGTTATGGGCCCACGTCGGAGGAGCTCTCTCAGCATCGTTTCCTTCGTCATTTCCTTCGGAGGCATTCTCGTCTGCAGGTTCGAAGGCACCCTCGTCTGCAGAAGGAGGTGGGCGGGGCTTCCCCATGCAGAACAGCACACGCAGTGTTCGTCCACACTGCCCCATGGGGCCACATATCATCAGCGCGGGCATCAGAAAGAAAAACGTCAAGCACACGGTGATGGTCGTATTGAGGATGAGCATGACGCCGAGCTGGAAGAATGGTAGAATCAAACACGGGAGCAGGAACACGGTGGCTCCACCTGTTGTAAGCGCTCCGCCAACTATCGCAATTCCAGCGTGCTTGAGAACATCTGTCACTCGACTCCGTCTGTCGGGCTTGTCAGACATCTGGTAAGCGTGGACCGTGTGCACTGTGTAGTCCACAGCCAGCCCGATGAAGGTCGTAAAGCCGATGACCTGGATTGCCCCGAACTCCCATCTGAAGACGCACACAATGAAAAACAGCAGCGACAAGATTGACATCACGGTCGTCAGCACGGTGTAGAGCGAGAGCAGCCAATCCCTGGTGAATATCGCCACGATAACAAAACAACCGCACACGGACATAGAAATCGTCCGAAGCGTGGAAGACACTACGTCCAGCTCTGCCAGCAGACGAATGATCCACGGGGAGACAATGATCATCTTCCCGCCCAGCGGAGCCGCCATGTTCCTGGCCTCCACAAACGAAACCCACTTCTGGTACTCCTCCTCGAGCTCCTGCAAATTGGCATCAGAAGGAACGTTGATGGCCAACCTCTGCCTTACGTAGGTTACGCTTCCCAAGTAACCGAGTCCAACTGTGCCAACGTCTGCAGCGTACAATTTTCTCAGGCGGCCCACGTTGAAGAATTCCTCGATCTTCTCCGAGACCAACGTCTGCGGAATAGGGAATGCCGCCGTGAAGCTGGCGCCCGCGACGGGCACGACGAGACCCATCGAAATCAGCGCATCGACATCGAGGCCTGTCTCAGACGCGAGCAGGGCGACCTGCTCTTCAGTGACGGGACCACCGGCCGCGGGCAGCGCCACGGAGTCGGGCAGCAAGGCGGAGATGCCAACACCTCCCAGGTCGGCCCAGACGAGGTCGCCCTGCTGGAAGGACGCGTCGCTCTGGTACCGCCAGGACCTGAGCGCCTCCATGAAGCACTGCACCTCGCCCCGCACGCGCAGCGCGCCGTCGGCGCGCGCGGCCGCGCACGTGTCCAGGAGCCACTGCTGCGTTGCCGCGTCCAGCGTGAACAGCGGGTCGTGCTCGGGAAGCAGGTCACCGCCGCCCTGGCGGTACCCCCGGATGCCCCACACCAGCGTGACGTCGAGACAGAACTGAATGGGGTACAGGGTCTCATCCTTGACGCCGCAGTCCGCCCCGCTGTAGCCAGGGTAGCACGAGCAGAGCCCGCTGCCGCCATCGCAGTCCCCGGCGCCGGAGCAGTCCGAGGGGCACCTCCACCGCTCGCAGAGCTCCCCCGCGTGCGCCTCGGGGCAGCCGCACCCCCAGTCGGCATCGGGCGCCTGCAGGCCCTCGAGGCACACGCCGTTGTTGAGGCACGCCGGGCACACCCGCGTGGTGCAGGCGTCTCCGCCGTACGTGCTGTCGCACTCGCAGCGCCCGGTGTCATGGCTGCACGCGCCGCGGCCGCTGCAGGCGGGCACCCCGGGGCAATAACTGGCGCAGCTCGCGCCGTACCAGCCCTCCAAGCAGCTGCAGCTGCCGGTCAGCTGGTCGCAAGTGCCGCGGCCACAGTGGCCATCGCAGCCGAGGGGCTGGAAGAATACCTCCACCTCGTAGGAGGTCGTCGAGAAGTCCCCAGCCGTCACAGTCACGGTGATCAGTTGCGAGGCCGGCGCCACTGCGGTGATCGTGTTCTCCTCGTGGCCGCCCACAAAGGCCCAGGAGGACAAGATGCTACTGGCCTTCGCCGTGATCCTGTACCTGCGATCCGTCGCGTTGGCGGAGTAGCGCAAGATAGTCGGGTCGAACTCGGGGGACAGAATGCCCGGATCCACGGCGAGCGACTCCAGGGAAGAGTCGAAGAAGAGCGGGTGCGAAACCAGCGGCCCATTGATGATGCTGACGGTCGCGGACGTGTTCGATGCCAGCACGCCGTCGGCTGCGAGCCTGCGGAGGCCGTCGAGGAGCGCCGGAATGTTGGAGTCCGACTCGTCCTCGACCAGCACCTCCACGAGAAGCTGGGCTCCGGCGGCCGCAAACTCACTCAGCCTCCTGAGGCCGCCGGTCGCGGTGCTGCTGCCGGCGCAGCTGCGGAAGGGCTCGCCGAGCGGCGCCAGGCTGGTGCGGACGTAGAGCGGGGGCGTCCGCAGCTCCGCGGCCACCAGCTGCCGCAGGCTCTCCTCCGCAGCGGGCCCCGCAGGCCCCGGCCCGCCCTCCAGCGCGTAGGTGCAGAGCACGGGCAGGCCGCAGGTCACCTCCCGGGCCGCGCTCGCCCGCAGCCCGTGCCGGGTCTGCAGCTCGCAGGACACCTGGAAGGCCTGCAGGTTGGGCAGGCAGCCGCCCACCGTCGCGTGCCAGGCGCCCCCGCCTGTGGCCTGCGCTGGGGCCTGGGCGCCGCCGGAGGCGGGGCCGCAGCTCAGGTTGACCACCTCGTCGTAGCCCGCGCCGGTCGGCAGCTCGATGCCCAGCTCGACCTGCGCGGAGCTGGGCCTCAGGCACGCGAACTCCAGGCCGGGGAGGCCCACCACCGTCAGGGCGGTGGGCCAGGCCATGCTCGGCTCGGACGTGCCCGCGGCGTTGCTGGCGGTGCACCGGATGTTGCCGATGGTGCTGCCCACGGCGAGCTCGGTGAACACCACGGAATTCACCGCCGAAGCGCTGGGCGAAGAGAGGCTGGCGACGAGCCCATCGGCGTCGCATTCCAACAGTTCTACAGGCACATCGCCGTCAGCGGTCACAAGACTGACTTCCACTGATATCTCTCCATCGCCTGACACCCCAGCATGCACGATTTCTGGTCGGTGTGGCACTACGCCTGAGGTAGTAGTCATAGTCGTGCTGGTGCTAGTCCAAACTTGAGTGGCGGTAGTTGCTGTTGTGGTCTCAGCCGCGGGGCTGGCCGTCGGACTGACCGTAGGGCTCGCAGTGGGGCTGGCCGTGGGGCTGGCCGTCGGACTGGCCGTAGGGCTGGCCGTTGGACTGGCCGTGGGGCTGGCCGTGGGGCTGGCTGTGGGGCTGGCCGTCGGACTGACCGTCGGACTGGCCGTGGGGCTAGCCGTCGGACTGGCCGTGGGGCTGGCCGTGGGGCTGGCCGTCGGACTGGCCGCGGGGCTGGCCGTCGGACTGGCCGTCGGACTGGCCGTGGGGCTGGCCGTGGGGCTGGCCGTGGCGCTTGCCGTGGGGCTTGCCGTCGGACTGGCCGTCGGACTAACTGTCGGACTGGCCGTCAGACTGGCCGTAGGGCTTGCCGTCGGACTGGCCGTGGGGCTGGCCGTAGGGCTGGCCGTCGGACTGGCCGTCGGACTGGCCGCGGGGCTGGCCGTCGGACTGGCCGTCGGACTGGCCGTAGGGCTGGCCGTTGGACTGGCCGTGGGGCTGGCCGTGGCCAGCGTTGGATTGGCCGTGGGGCTGGCCGTCGGACTGGGCGTGGTAGAGGTGGCTGTGGTAGTGGCTAGGACCACCACAGAAGTCACGACAACATCTGCGCCCAAAGCCTCACTGATCAAGGTTGTCACGTCAGAGGCATCAGCCCCCATGAGGTAGACAATGAGTTGTGCCAACTCCGACGGTCCACCAGCCTGCGCCGTGATCCGCAAGATGAGGGTCAGAGAGGCCAGGCGCCTGTCGCTGGCTTCCTCTGCTGGCAGCTCGCAATCCACGATAGCAACTGGCGCTCCGACCCGTTGCGACAGGGCCTCCGCGATGGCTCCACGCACGCTGTCGTCGGACAGCAGTAGAAGCAGGAAGTCGTGCAAACTGTCGTCGAACTCCAGCTCCAGCTCGAAGTCCACGAGGTGCGCGGACCCCGAGAGCTCGGGGAAGACCACGGCGGACTCTGGGCTCATGCTGGTGAGTGCCCCGGCGCCCGGCACGAGGCGGGCGGTGGCGACCTCGCAGCGAAACAGGTACCCCTTGGCGGGGTCCAAGCCGTCCACGAAGATGCCGACGCCATTGGCATTGCTGCCTGACGAAGACGGCGACGCCAGCGGCACTGCTGCCTCATACGCGTAGCACGTGAAGAGGAGCGGCACCGCATCTCCAGACTGGACCGAGTCCTCCCAAATGTCGAGCCTCACTACGCCTCCGCCGACCACGGTGACCTGCGGCGCCCGCGAGACCGACGGCAGCTCCGCCACTGCCCGAGGCGTCACCGGCTGCCACGGCCAGCACTCGCTGTCCTGGCACATTGCAGGAATCGAAGACTGGCTGTCCCCGTACTGGCTCACGGCCGAGACGCTGACGACGTGGGGGACGCCGTTCGGCAGGCCGCCCACCCAGTGCTCACAGCAGTCGAGGCCCGGCGCCTCGGAGGCCAGGGCCTGCGACCAGCACGGCGCCGGCACGCACGCGACGGTGTCCTCTCGCGGGCCGAAGGACGCGTCGGCAACGACCACGCGGTAGCCAGCGATGTCGTAGAATCCGTCGCCGCCGTGCGGCTCGAACCACACTCTGATGGCCGCGTCCTCTGCCACCACGCGGCTCAGTGCAAGGGGCGGCGGCGGCTCTGCTTCTGCCCTGGCGAGCCTCAGCGAGTACGTGATGCTGTCGGCGCCTGCGGCCATCACGACGATGCGCACCTGCACCTCTCCCCCTGGCTCCAGAGCCACCGCGCCCGACAGTCCGCCGCTTGTCACCGGCTCGTCTTGCACTGTGACATTCTCGGCGGGCGGGGAGAAACTCGGCCGCACCTGCACCTCTGTGATACGGAATGGCAGGGACGCCGAATATGTCTGCACTGATGGGCTGAATGGAGGGCTGAGCTCTATCGCTGGACTCATAGACAACCCAGACAGGATCAACTCTTCTAGCACCCTGGCCATCACCTCAACGCGCTGCGTGTCGAACGACCAATTCCCATCACGGCCCCAATTAATAACCAAGGAACATACGTCCTCCCAGCCGCCTGGCTTGCCCGAGAAGTCCGCCTCGATCAAGACGTTGACCTCGGCGGGCATCGCCGTGCTGCCGTCGATCTGGCGAGGGCTCAGGGTGCCGCTCGGGCTCCCGCGGACGGAGATCCAAGGCTTCTCGGGAATGCCAATGGACCAGGCAATGGAGGTGTCCCCGACGTTCTGGAGGGTCAGCTCTGCCGAAAGCAGCCCGCCCACGTAGACGCCCCCAGGGCTGTTCTGGACAGCGGCCAGCTGCACCACCGTCCTGCCAACGCTCAGCTCGCCTGGCCGTACGGAGATCGAGCAATCCTCCCCCGCGTAACCACCCTCGCACACGCACGTCCAGCTCGTGTGGTCGCACACGCCCCAGCCGCTGCAAACCACTCCCCCTGGGAGGAGCCCCGGGCAGTAGCGCTCCTTGGAGCTCAGCGGCGAGAAGACAGCGATCGCCTTGTTCAGGTCACTGACGTCGTAGGAGCTGAAGCTCCTCATGAGCAGCAACTGCTGGCGGCCCAGGTTAGTGCGCTCCGCGAAGACCTGCGGCGCCTCGCTGGCAAGCGACAGGCTCAGGGAGGCCATCAGGCCGCCCAGCGCCGACAAGAGAGGCAGCACCAGGATGGCGGCATACCTGAAGCGCCAGACCAAGTCCCGCATCGTCCCTGCGAGGAAGCGCACCGACATGCTGAGGCGCCCCTGGTCGAAGCTGGAGACGGTGCTGGGATTCGACACCTGGTCCATCCAGTCCGCTTCGCCCCAGCTCTGGTTAGCCTGCCCGCGGCTCTCGAGATCTCTGCACCGCTCCTCGCCGGGACCCGCCGCGCCGCTGCGGCGCCCGCGCGGGCGCTCGTCGGCCGCGGGGCTGGAGGCGGCCCTGCTGGGGGCCTGCGTGCTCTGCGCGCTCGCGGGCGTCAGTTCTGCGTGCTCGCACGCGCGCAGCGGGCCCCTGCTGCGAGCCCTGAGCGACCGCGGCGGCGTGCTGAACTGCTGGTCGACGTCCTTGGACAGTCGTCTCGGGGGCGAACGGGCGGCGCCGCCCCCGAGGGAAGGCACGACAGAGCCTCGAGGAGAAGCCGGGGGCAAGCCGCCCTCGAGACTCTCTGCCGCGTGCACTGGTGAGCGGCAGCAGGCGCAGATGCGATACCGATCTCTGAGGACGAGCACGGCCGCGAAGATGACCATGGTGTTCACATAGTTCAAAGCCACGACGGTGCCCATGTAGAAACCGAAGCCGCGCAGGACGGGCATCGACGACAGCAGCAGCGAGAAGAACGAGGTGCAGGTGGTGGCCGTGGTGAAGAGTGTTGCGCTGCCAGCCCTGTAGTACGCCCACCGCATGTGTTCCTCTGGACCGAGGTCTCGCAAAGAAGTCCGAGCCCGCGCCAGCGCGAACGTCTGAGACAGGATCAGCACATTGTCGGCAGATATTCCCACGACAAGAAAGAGGGACATGAAATTCACAAGATACATCCTCGGGAAGCCTGCGACCACTGCGTAGAAGTAGAATGCCGTGGTAAAGCTGATGCAAATGCTGGATATCGCCATCGTAGCGAGGATAAGACTCCTTGTCTGGATGAGGAGAAACACAGCCACAAAAATAAACGACCCCAGAGCCCAGCTGACGTCATGAAGCAATATAGTAATCACCTCGTGGGAAGACAAATACAATGGCTCGTGCCACGTGACTGTGATATGCTGGAACTTGTCGTTCGCGCTGATGAGGTGTTTGTCAAAGAGCTGTCTCAGCCAGGACGCATGCTTCTTATTGTCTTCGTCCGTGACCTGTACTCGCGACCCTGTGATAACTTGTGGTTCAAGCGGTGCGCCGCCCTTGAACAGTGAGCGGGTGCTCTTGCTCTTGAGGTGTCTTGCATCGAAGTCAGCGTCGACCCACCAGTACACCCCCTGCTGCATCATCGCTTGCAAAGTCGAGTTGATGTTAGCCAAGTTCCCGAGACCGTCGTAGCTCACGAACGCATACCCGTCCTCGGCCGCCGGGGAGGCGCTGGGGTGGAACATGTTGACGACGGACTCTGGGTGCCTGCAATCCACGCCGCCCCCCTTGAAGCAGTAGTCGCTGTATCCCGGGAACTGCTGCACGGCCTGCTCGAAGCCTTTGATCTCTGCAAGGGCCGCGGGCGTGAAGACGTTGTCGCCAGTCGCCGTGTAGAAGAAGGTAAGGTACCACCAATCCACTGCCTGGGCGGAAATGAGCTCCCCGGACTCGAGCCGCCGGGTCTCGACGTCGTCCGCGAGCGTCGCCTTCTGCGCCTCCACCGCGTAGTCCACAGCCCGACTCATGAAGGCGACGTCGGAATCCGTCTGCATGTAGCCGGCAACGTCCCAGTCCACGTCCACGGTGTAGTTGCTGGCGCGCCACCCGAGGAAGCTGAGGCCGACTGTCACCGCGACCCCAGCGAAGGCGACCACCAGGGGCCACCGGGTGACGAGGGTCAACCAGGTCTCGAGGGGGCCGGCGCACTTCTGGCCGCGGCGCTTCTGCTGCGCTGCCCTGGCAGCTGTTGCCAGCAAGAAAACAAGCAAGCCAGTGAGCAACACCACGACGGGCAATGGAACGCCGACCACGTCGTATATCGGCTCGGGAGGCTCCCGCTGCGCGTCGGAGCTCTCGCCGGGCGCGCTGAGCAGGCCCTCGGCCGCGGCCAGCGCCGCCGCCGCCAGGAGCGGCCCGCGCATGCCGGCCGGGGGGCGCAGCCGTCCACGCCGCGCTGCCGGACCCGAGGTGTCCGCGAGCGCCGGGCGGCCCTCCCCCCTCTGAGCCCTCGGGCTCTTGAGCCAGGGCTACGGAAATCGTGGGGATACGCGAGGCGTCAAGAATTCGAACTCCTGCCTGCTACACTTTTGCACGGGCACAGTGCCGGGGTTCGACGCAGGCGGCTGGATAATCCGCCGACCCCAAAGGCGTGTGATGTTGAAGTCGTGCGTCTACCCATCACCCGAACGCCTTACCGACCCTCCCTCCACTGGCCACTCGGATCTTGCCCTAACCCTCACACAGCATTTCCTGGCCGGGAACCGGCCCCGTCGCCCAGCTGGCTCGACCCTTGCAGCGTCCCTGCCACTGTCTCTGGAGCCCCCCACGCGACGCTTTCCTGGCCCGGAACCGGCCCCGCCGCCCAGCTGGCTCGACCCCCGCACTGCCCTGGCCACTCTGTCTTCGGGCCCCCCACCCGCCACTTCCTGGCCCGGAACCGCCCCGTCGCCCACCTGGCCCGACCCCGACCCCCGCACCAGCACTGCCACTCTCCTCTTGGGCCCCCCTCACCGGACTGTTCCTGGCCCAGAACCGACTCCGCCGCCAGCCTGGCCCGATTCCCGCACCGTCCTGGCCACTCTCTTCTTGTGCCCCCACTGGAATGTTCCTGGTCCTGAACCGACTACGCCGCCCATCTGGTCCGACCCTCGCGTCGTCCTGTCAACTCTGGACAAGTCCTGGCCCAGAACCGACCCCGCCGCCCACCCGGCCCGAACCACCGCACCATCCTTGCCACTCTGGACAATTCCTAGCCCAGCACCGACCCCGCCGCCCATCTGGCCCGATCCCCGCACCGTCCTGGCAACTCCGCTCTTGGGCCCCACTGCTGTTCTTTCGGGGCCTCTGCGTACACGCATTCCACGCGTTTTGCAATTTCCCAAGCCCCTTGTTGACCCTCTGGGATGGGTCCCTTCCACCACTCTACAGACCGAGAACCAGAGTCACAGCCATCCCCACAATTCGGGTCACAAACACACTGTAATACCCCCTGCTCGCAGGAAGGGCGGGCCGGTTCGAGGTTCTGGGATCGGAACGGTTTCATACCTTTTCGCCCTCTGGTTTGTTTCCTTCGGGCCCAGGACCGTCGAAAACGGATCCGCAGTGAAAAACTGCACTAGATAGACCCTGGGAGGGGTCCAGGGACCGATTTTGAACGGATTTGGCCTCGTTCTCCCTCCCAACTTATTTCTAGGGTCCCACCAAATTCAGACCCCCTGGCCGCCTCCACGGCGCTATGATTACGAGTCTGAAGCTGCAAAAGGCCGCGAGATGCAACAGCCCCAGATGTCTGGCCTGAACACAACCCGCCGTGCTTGGCAAGCCACCCTTGCACAACGAATCAAACATACGTCGCTGCATTGAGGTCGGCCGCAGAGGTGGCAGCTTTTCGATTAGGACTACCGGAATGCATTGGAATACCAGGATCGCGCATAGCGTACGCTGTATCTGGGACGGGGGGCCAGTCCCAAGTCTACTGACCATGTGCCTTCCTTGGCTTCCTACTCGGAGGACAAAGGCATGTCCGATCATTGCTGGATGGCAAACAAAGTATCAGAACCTGTCGCTCGGCATTCTTCAGCGAAGAACAGGCCGCCAGGCGTGTGAACAATCCACAGGTCCAAGGAGCAACAAGCTCCTTGTCGTCGAGCACGGTAACCTCAAAGGTGAAGTATTTCTTCAAGTTCTTGATGATCATCACCTGGATTCAAAAGAACACACATCGATGGGCTGGCTTGGCAAGGTGGGGCAACTCTTAGGTCAATTTTACAAACAGGCCATGACCACGGAAAAAAATGACACTACAGACAAACAAACGGAAAGATCAAGCGTCAGGCGAACGACAAGCTGAAACTACAAAAAAAAAAAACAAGATCCAACTGAATACTGAGGGAAACAGGCTGTCCCGTGTTACAACGTTGCTTTGCTTGCGATACCCTTTTGTCGTCTGCATCGCAGCGCAGTGCTGTGGGACGCATTGTATTTACCCTGCTGCTTTCACTGTGTTGCGTATGTTTGCGCTGCCCTTCATCTTCTTCGGCTGAACTGTACAGGATTGCGCTGCGTTGCCCTCAACTGCTCAGCTGCAGCAGATCGACCTGCTCTGCCGTGCCCGGTGCGCGTCCTGCTCTGCACCGCGGTGTGCGACGGCGCGCTGCTCCGCCAGCCCGACACTGCCGCGCACTGCAATTTGTTCTGAATTGTGGGCTGACGTCCGAAGGGCTGAAAGGTGGCGGCGCCCACAGAGGAGTGGCGCGATGGGGGCGGCCTTACAAGCAGGCGGGGGGTTTTCGAAGGCAGAGGCTCTCGCAAAAGGCCCCAAATCGGCCACACGCAAGAGCGACCCTGGGTACAGTGACCTTCGGTGCGCGGTTTTTTGGGGGCCGCGGGGGGACCACGCGCGAACGCGCAAGGCGCTGCTATAGCACCGCATGCCGCGATCGAGGGATCCCAGTGGCCCCGCACCCAAAAGTTTCTCTGGCGAAGGGTCACTCTTGCGCGTAGTCGACCAGAGGTCTGCAAGAAGGTTTTTTAGGAGCCAGGCGGGCTTCTAAGAAACCCCTTGCTTTCATAGCGGCCCCGCCGCATTCTCACAAGCCCACCTCCCGCGCGACGACCCCTTGTGAGCGCCGCCGAAACAGGGGGGACTGGCTCAGGGGAGGAACAGTGGCCTGGAATCAGCGGCGGGCCCCCCATTGTAAAAACGCATCCTCCTGGGCGCGGTGGGGGGCCCACGAGCCGATTACACCGAATGGTTGCTAAGGGGCCGATGCCTGGGCCAATCCCACCTCTGTCGGCGCCCCCTGACGGCGTCGGAAATTTGTCGCCATGTCTGGCCTCGGGGGGCCTTCCTCAGACCCCTGAACCGTCAAGAAACCGTTCAAGATGAGGAACAGGCCCTGGGGGAGAGGGTTGGGGCTTACGGCGACCCCGTATTGAACATATCAAGACGACCGATGTTTGGGTCAGCGTCGAATCAATTAGTCGGATCGAATGGCCATGTGCGGCATATCGGGCTGCATCGGAACGGAATGGGGGATCGAATTGGATCACCTGCGCCAGGATGCACACCAGCGCCATGCAAGAATCGGGCCGCATCGGAACGCCAGAATTTTCAGACTGAATCGGATCGAGCCCGCCGAAAACAATATCGAATGCGAGCGACCACATCGAAATGGAGTACGAAGTGGGGAAAACAAGACTTACCGAAACCGCTACCCCCTAAACTTATCCCCGGGTGTATCCTGACCAGAATCCCATCAGCCCTTTAGGGCGCAGGTGGTTTAGGGCGTTTCCTCTTCCGCCCTTTTTTCCCCCTTCGGGGAACGATTTCTCACTTTCCCTATTATTTACACCCCCCCCCGGCGACCGGGAGCCAACCCAAGTCCAGGAGGCCCCCCCCCCACCCATCATCCCTTGCAAAAAAAATGCCAAACACACTCTGCCCCCACCATCCCTGGTAGAAAACAATACAACGCACGCTCTGTTTCCAAATTCGGAGCACGCGCAGCGAACCCGATGCGCCCCCCCCCACCCCACCACCATCCCTGCCAAAAGACTACCTTGGCGACGTGCCCAACCCCTGCGCAAACGAGGGGTGCAAATAGTTTAGGATACTTGTATAAAGGGGGGCGATGACGGAGCGAGGGTTACATGCATCTGCAGACGGAGTTCGGGGGACCCGCAGGACACTGGCTACAGGACAAGGGCTTCATAAAGCTGATGAGTTACATATCCTGAGCACTCCTAGCCACTTCGTAAACGGGGATCATATATCGCAGCCCCCGAAAGATGGCGAGGTCTAAATTGAGTCTGCGGCGAGGTCCCAGAAACAATAACGGTTCGAGGATGCTGTGATCGAGGGCCTGAGAGCAACTCACAAGGCATGCATCTCGTGGGGAGCAAGCTGTTTCTTTCCGCTTCGTCCCCCTGCAAATGATGTGCAAAGCGCCTTCATCTTCTTCACCCAGCGAGTTCCAAACAATTTGATGCAGCATAAACGCAGACACATGTGATTGAATTACTGCTCGCTAGACTCCCTAAGGGCCCCGCTAAAACTACTACTATCACTGCTACGCGGGCGGCGGGAGCATGGCCGCCCCAATCCATGGGCCCACTGAGCGCCCCAGTAAAAGGCGCGCGCGTTTCCCGCGCACGCGCCGCGGGCGCAAATTCCACGAACTCGCGATGGTCTCATCCGTTAAAGCGCAGCTAAGCAGACGCCCGTCCGTCAGGACTGCGTCGACACCAATCAATCCGGGGCCGAATCGTCCATAGTGCCACTCGCATTTCAACCTCCGGCGTAGTTCGGATAAGGGCATGCGGGGCCGGGCATCGGTTCTGCAGCGTTCCTCTCCGGCGAGGCTAAAAAATACTACGTGCCTGCCCTCGAGCTTCGCCAGCAACACCAGCAACGACCGACGACGGAAGGGGCGACGACGGCGTTACCACGACGACGGCGATGACGACGACGACGACGACAACACCGGCGAGGTCTAATTTGAATCTGCGTGTGGCGTCACTGCGCTGGGCCCCCCAGCAGGCCTCGAAAGTGGCGACAGTTTCACAGATCGCAGCCCCCCCAGGGATGCCGAGGTCAAAGTTGAATCTGCGTGTGGCGTCACTGTGCTGGGCCCCCCAGCAGGCCTCGAAAGTGGTGACAGTTTCACAGATCGCACCCCCCCAGGGATGGCGAGGTCTAATTTGAATCTGCGTGTGGCATCACTGTGCTGGGCCCCCCAGCAGGCCTCGAAAGTGTCGACAGTTTCACAGATCGCAGCCACCCAGGGATGGCGAGGTCTAATTTGAATCTGCGTGTGGCGTCACTGCGCTGGGCCCCCCAGCAGGCCTTGAAGGTCGACAGTTTCACAGATCGCAGCCACCCAGGGATGGCGAGGTCCCATTTGAATCTGCGTGTGGCGTCACTGTGCTGGGCCCCCCAGCCGGCCTGGAACGTGACGACAGTTTCACAAATCGCTGTCCCCCAGGGATGGCGAGGTCTAATTTGAATCTGCGTGTGGCGTCACTGTGCTGGGCCCCCCAGCAAGCCTCGAAGGTGGCGACAGTTTCACAGATCGCAGCCCCCCAGGGATGGCGAGGTCTAATTTGAATCTGCGTGTGGCGTCACTGTGCTGGGCCCCCCGGCAGGCCTCGAAAGTGGTGACAGTTTCACAGAACGCACCCTCCCAGGGATGCCGAGGTCTAATTTGAATCTGCGTGTGGCGTCACTGTGCTGGGCCCCCCAGCAGGCCTCGAAAGTGGCGACAGTTTCACAGATCGCAGCCCCCCATGGATGCCGAGGTCAAAGTTGAATCTGCGTGTGGCGTCACTGTGCTGGGCCCCCCAGCAGGCCTCGAAAGTGACGACAGTTTCACAGATCGCAGCCCCCCAGGGATGGCGAGGTCTAATTTGAATGTGCGTGTGGCGTCACTGTGCTGGGCCCCCCAGCAGGCCTCGAAAGTGGCGACAGTTTCACAAATCGCAGCCCCCCGCACGCAAGACAGGAGGAGGCAAGAGGGAGGCGGGAAGGAAGGTAGGAGTGGATACCACATTGCCCGATTCAAAACGAATACCCAAGCAAGGAGGGTTGGGAACAATACGAAGCACACTTGGCGGCGACGGCGGCTGCGGCGGCTGCGGCGGGGGCAGCGGCTGCGGCGGCTGCGGCGGTGGCGGCGGCGGGGGCGGCGGCGGCGGCGCGGGCGGCGGCGGCGGCGGCGGGCGGTGGCGGCGGCGGCAGCGGTGGCGGCAGCGACTGCGGCGGCAGCGGCTGCGGCTGCGGCTGCGGCGGCGGCGACTTGGCAGCGGGGGCGGCGGCGGCGGCGGCGGGCAGCGCGGCGGCGGCGGCAGCGGCGGACAGCGGCGGCGGCGGCGGCGGCGCAGCGCCGGCGGCAGCGTCGGGCAGCGGCGGCGGCGGAGGCGGCGGCGGATTGGCCCCCAGTAGCTGGCCATCCAAAGACGACCGCTGCATATGCTGCGGCTGGGGCCAGGCTCGGGTGCTACGTATGTGTTGGGAGGGCGGGTGGGAGTGAGTGAGACGGCTTGCGGGCGGGGGGGGCGTCCCGTCGGAACGCTCATTTGGCCCCATGTTGGTTTTTTGTGGAAGCAATGCTAATTAACCCCCCCTTCTTTGATCGATCTCCTCCGTGATGGCCCCACGAGCGCTCCCAAGGCTCTCGAAGGGTGCCCCAAGAAGGGCCCCAAGAGGCGGCCAGGATGCCCCAAGAGGCCCCCAAGAGGCCCCCAGAAGGCCCCCAGGATGTCCCCCAAAAACTCCCCCACAAAAACCCAAGATGCCCCAAGAAACCCCCCAGAGGCACCCAATACGCTCCAAGAGGCCTCGGCGAGAATGGCCAAATCATTGATGTTACTTGGTTTTGGCCGCATGTTGGCTTCCTGGGGGGGGCAATGCTTAAGATGTCTCCAAGAGCGCCTGGGAGAGCTCAAGATGACCTCCAAGATGAACCAAAACTATCCCAACACGGTTCAAGATGGTTCCCACGATGTTCCAAGAGGCCCCACGACCGTTCCAAGACGGCCCCGGGTGGCCAAAGAGCTCCGCCAGGAAGCCCCGGATTGGCCAAAACCATTTCAAAATCGTACGGGACTCCATGTGTTTGGTTTTCTCGCCCTTTCGCTTCCGATTACCATCCGAATCCTCAAGATGGCTCCAAGATGGCCCAAGAAGGCTCCAAGAGCGCTCCCAGGGCTCCCTCCCAAGAGCGCTTCAAGAGGGCCCCAAGAAGCGCCCAGGAGGCGCCAGGAGGCCCCAACAGGCGCCCAAGAGGCCTCCAAAAGGGCCCACCCAAGAGGCTATCCGAGGCAC